GGCCTGCCCTTTCTTCCAGCCCTGGGTTAGGGCTGTTTGTGTGCTTTGACCGTAATCTTCCCCCATTTTCTTCCTTCCCACCCAATGAATGCCACCCTTTTCATATATGCACTGCCTTAGTTTTCAGCAAGGATACGAATGATTTTCCCCCGATCTTGTCATACATTTGTTCATTTCAGTTAGGAGCTAAACACCTGTGTTCAAACCTTTGAAAAGAAGATGTTAATAGCTTAGTTGTCCTTTCTGAGATGTGACTAGAAGGCAGTATGGCTGTGCTAGAACTCTTGAACCAAGAGATGTTGCTGCCAACTCACCCTTTATTACAAGAATAATTAATTTGGGATCCAAATTTAATGTCTTTGATCACATGCACCATGCCATTCACAGGTTCTGAAGGATTACGACATGATCTACCTACAGGAAGAAACAGAATTTTGGAGCCAAGTAGAGTAAACTGAAATATTTGTTTTAGTATATAAGGTCTCAACCTGCCTATAGCTTACTGAAGAATACATGCAGTTCTGATAGTTCCATAGACTTTGCCACGTTGAGGAAACTCACCAGACTGCTTCAGGATGAGCTCCCTTTCAAAAAACTTCCTGTTCAGATCTGTTTCATCCCGATATTATGCCTCCCAGAAAAATAAACTGTTATTATCTGTAATTCACTTCAATTGGCATAATCCAAAGATCTCAAAGCCCAAGATTGTCTTGTCTTTTGGTTATTTAATCTACTTATCTTTCTTATCCCAGTCATTCATTACTTAATTTTAGTCATGAAAATGGGAGACCCCCAGTGGATGGGATTTTCCCTCAATCGTGTCCTGTGATGACTGTTTCTCATGAAATAAACCTATAATGAAGGCACCAGGAACTCAAAGCCATTTAACAAGGTATGAGCTACAAGAATAATTTTCATATGTATTGCACCTCGGTAAACTAATTGTCATATGTAACTCAGTTACAAAATTTGAACAAACTGAATCGGATCTTACAGATGTGTGACTAACAGAGGGGGTTCCCACTCCAGAGTTACTTACGTGTGCAGCTGTCCGTAGCACTTGTCCAGACTGAGTTTTTTAGGCAGACGATAGAAAATGGTCTTCCGTAATAACCAGGGCGGCATTCATATCTCAAATACGTCCCAACGGGAAACTCGGACTTATCAGTTAGGTTGATAGGCCTGGCAAATGGAGGCGATTCAGGAGCATTGCATTGATCTGGGGATCAAGACCACAGCAGCATCCAAGTCAATGAAGAAAATACCATTCTTTTTTTTTTTTTTTGAGACAAAGTCTGGCTCTGTAACCTATGCTGGAGTGCAGTGGCACGATCTCGGCTCACTGCAACCTCTGCCTCACAGGTTCAAGCAATTCTCCCCGCCTCAGCCTCCTGTGTAGATAGGATTACAGACATCTGCCACCACGTCCAGCTAATTTTCATATTTTTAGTAGAGATTGGATTTCCCATGTTGGCCAGGCTGGTATCGAACTCCTGACCTCAGGTGATCTGCCCAGCTCAGCCTCCCAAAGTGCTGGGATTACAGGTATAAACCACTGTGCCATGTCAAAATTCTCATTCTACTTCCTCTTTCTCTCCAATATGCTTCATAGATGTGATCACAAAAGAAAAAGAATACTTCAATAGTAGCCAAGGGAGCCGGGTGTGGTGGCTCATGCCTGTAATTCCAGCACTTTGGGAGGTTGGGGTGGGTGAATCACTTGAGGTCAGGAGTTTGAGATCAGTCTGGCCAAAATGGTGAAACCCCGTTCCTACTAAAAATACAAAAAATTAGTAGAGCATGGTGGCATGTGCCTGTGGTCCCAGCTACTCAGATGGCTGAGGCAGGAGAATCTCTTGAACCCAGGAGGCAGAGGTTACAGTGAGCCAAGATGGTGCCACTGCACCCCAACCTGGGTGAAAGAGCAAGACTCCATCTTAACAATAATAATAATAATAGCAAAGAGATTGATTCCTTTAAAACAGTGTTCCCAACCGTTTTGGCATCTGGGACTGGCTTTGTGGAAGACAATTTTTCAGTGAATGGAGGGTGCAGGTGAATGGTTTTGAGATGAAACTGTTCCACTCAGATCATCAGGCATTAGATTCTCATAGGGAGCACGCAACCCAGATCCCTCATATGCACGGTTCACAATAGGGTTTGCACTTCTATGAGAATCTCATGCCACCACTGATCTGACAGGAGGTGGAGCTCAGGCAGTAATTCTTGGCCGCTCACCTCATACTGGGCTGCCTAGTTCCTAACAGGCCACAGGCCACTACTGGTCCATGGCCAAGGGGTTAAGGACCCCTGGTTTAAAAGATGGCTTAGAAATGGGCTCTATAAAAAAATCAGCATCCATCCATTTAAAAAGTCTCTGCTAGTGTGAAGGCAACTAAGCCATTTATATCATCTTTCCCTAAAGGGGAAGCTGCAATTCACAGCTTCAAATTTTAGTTAATCAGTAAGTGCTTCTGCTGTGGCTTTGTCTCTCCCATCCTCATTTCTCACACTTTCTTGTAACATGAGGCACTCATGCATTTTACCATCCACCTTCATGCTCAGTGGGCACTCAGATCCAGCGGGACTACACTCCTCCTCTTTGGCCCTCAGCAGCAGTCACCAGTGTTGGAAGTCTGAGCACACAGAGTGAACAAAGCTCAAAAATTAAAGGTATACCATAAAGAAGCATGTATTTTCTTATAGATATTTCAAATTAAATACTAGACTCAGCTAGGCCCCTTAAGGCCTGGTAGATTTAACCTAAAAAGTAACAAAAATTATAGTTGGAGTCAAACAGTATCTAATCAAGAAGATATATCTGTTGAAAAAAAATAGCATTTTGCTTTAGCTTTGGAAATCTCTTTTTTTTTTGTTTTGATTCCTTCCCATATCTTCCACTAATTAATTCAAATTATGCAGGGTAGATTGAGGCCAGAGGACAATTTTATTAGACTTAAAAGAATCAACTTTTGGCTTTGTTGTTTCTGCTCTTATTTTTATTTAATTCTTATTGCTGTTTTCTTTAAATTTACTTGCTGTTCTGTTCTTTAAAAAATGATAATTCCTTGTGATGACTACTAAGATTTTAAAAAATTATCATCTTGCCATAGTTTCTAAAATAAGTGTAACTATTATTTTTATTCTAAGCATAGATATAGCTCCATGTTACAAGTTTTTATATTTTCTTTCTCTAGTTTAAAGTATTTGATAGTAGCTACTGTGATTTCTTCATTGACTCATGGTTTATTTAGAAGTGTTTTTCATAATTTACAAACATTTGAGGAATTTCAGCTGTATATTTATTATCCATTTTTGTTTTGAAATTGAGCAAGGCTTGTTTCATGGCACAGCATATGGCCAACTGTAGTAACAGTAGCATGTGCACTCATAAAATATGTGTGTACTGCAGTAGTAGTATAGTGCTGTGGGTATGTCAGTGTATTAGTCAATTCTTGCACTGCTGTAAAGAACTACCTGAGACTGGGTAATTTATAAAGATAAGAGGTTTAATTGACTCACAGTTCTGCAGGCCATACAGGAAGCATGGCTGGGGAGGCCTCAGGAAACTTACAATCATGGGAAGGTGAAGGGGAGGCCAGCATGGTCTTCACATGGCCGGAACAAGAAGAGAACAGTGAAGGAGAAGATACTAAATACTGTTTTTTTCTTTTCTTTTCTTTTCTTTTAGACGGAGTCTTTCTCTGTGACCCAGGCTGGGGCGCAGTGGTGTGATCTCGGCTCACTGCAACCTCTCCCTCCTGGGTTCAAGTGATTTCCCTGCTTCAGCCTCCTGAGTAGCTGGAACTACAAGCATGCGTCACCACACCCGGCTAATTTTTTTGTATTTTAGTAGAGATAGGGTTTCACTATGTTGGCCAGGATGGTCTTGATTTCCTGACATCATGATCTGCCCTCCTCGCCCTCCCAAAGTGCTGGGATTACAGGCATGACCCACCATGCCCCACCAGTGCTATATACTTTTAAACAACCAGTTCTTGTGAGAACTCTGTCACCAGACAGTACAATGTGTGTGGTGCTAAACCGTTAGAAAGCACCACCATGATCCAGTCCCCTCCTTCCAGGCCCTGCTTCCAACACAGAGGATTATAATTCAACATGAAATTTAGGTGGGAACACAGAACCAAACCATGCAGTCAGTGAATCCAATCTGTTAATATTTATTCAGATCTTCAAAGTACTTACTGATTTTTGGAGGATTACTTGTTTTATCAGATACTAAATGAGTTGTGTTAAAGTATTTTATTTATTGTACATTTGTATATTACTTTTTATAATGTCCACCTTTTATTTTACATATTTTAAGGATTATGTAAAACAAAAGGATTATATTATTAGGATTATAAAAATTTAAATTGCTATATTTTATGGTAGAGCAACCTTCTTTATCATAATAAAATATCTCTATCTCTAGAAATGAATCTTTCCTAAAACTTTACTTTGCTTTATTTGTGGGACAAATAAAAAACCAATAATAAGATGGGAGATTCAATCACCAATATATAAATGCTTATTTTAAATGTTCAGTAGTCACCCCCTCATCTGTGGGGGACATGTTCCAAGACATCATGGATACCTGAAATCTCAGATAGTACCAAACCTGATCACTATCAATTAGAACACATTTCTGTTCACATCTTCCACCCACAAATTTAATGCCTTTCCCCTCTTAACTAAGCACTTAGCATGCACTGTGGTTGTAACTTTTGCAGTTTGAAGTGTGACAGCAAAACTAGCACAAATTTCTTTTTCCTTCTTCACAATTTCATTGACAGAAGGTTCCTTCTTACCTTGGATCTTAGCAACTTCAACATACAATTTTTTTCTTTCTTTATTAAGTGGACAACTTTTACCTTTTCTCTTAAAGGAAGAATTTGCTACCCAACTGGACCCTAATGGTAATGAACTCCCTCACTAGGCTCAGCTAAAACTTTGAGAATCTATGTGGAAAGGTGTGGTAGGCTGGGTAATGACCTCTCAAAGATATCCATGCTCTGATCCCTGAAGCCTGTGAATGTTGCCTGTAATGGTAAAAGGGCTTTGCAGATGTGATTAAGAATCTTGATATGGGCAGATTATCCTGGGTTATCTAGGTGTGCCTTAAATATAATCACAAGGGTCCTTATGAAAGGGGGACAAGAGGGTTAAGGCAGACAGAAGAAGGATATTTGAAAATGCTACGCTGTTGGCCTGGAAGGTAGAGGAAGGAGGCCATGAGCCAAAGGATGGAGGCAGCCCCTGGAAGCTGGAAAGAGAAAGAAAGCCCCTGCTCCCCTGGAGCCTCCAGAAGGAACACAGCCCTATGGATCTATTTTAGGTGTTGGCCTTCAGAACCATAAAAGAATACTCAAACTGGTTGCATTCTAGAAAATGAAAGAGCCCTGCAATAGAAACATTCCCAGTAAAGGTATCAACAGATCACTTCTGAAAGGAATAAAATAGTGAAATTGATGACACAAAACATACATACTAACAAACAAACATGCGTATTAGCAAACAAACATATTAGCAAACACACATGGACCTTCCTCTTTCCTAACATTAAATGTTGAATAAGTCATATTAGCTAGCTCTAAGAGCTTACTATTTACTGGGCACTGTGCTAAATGCATTAAGTTTATCCCAGGTAAACCTTACTAATAACCAATAAGGAAGGTACTAAATCAGTTTATATACATATAAACACATTTAAAATTTGAATAACTTTCTGAAGGTCACAGTCCCATTTATATCTGTGGACTATGGCAAATAATTTTAGAATCACTATGTATAACAACTAAAATGACTATACAAATGTCCCCCTTCTTTCGTCACTAAAAATGATGAATGAGTGGACATCACCAGGAATTTGAAAGATTTTTTAAAAAATCACCTAGAATTTAAAGGATTTTTGAAAAAATATAAGCAGGTAGTTACTAAACCTGAAACAATAGAAGTTGGAGATTTTGTAGCGGGAGAAGTCGACACTGGAAAATAAAATAATAATGTGGATTGGATCAAATACTTGGGAGTTATTGCTGGCATTTTCTCCAGGAATTTACAAGATTTTTGAGAAATACAAGGAAGAAGCTACTAAACCTGAATGACTTAAAGTTGGAGGTTTTGTACTAGAAGGAAGCAGCTCTAGGAAATAAAATAACATTAGAAGATCAACCACTTGGGAGTTATTGCTCTCATTTTGTTTATATGAATTATGCCATTCTTGACTTACTTAAATAAAAATGGCTGTTTCAATTCACCCAAAAGTTGTTGTAATCCACTTTTTATACATAAAATTGTTGAACAAGAGAAAGTATGTACCCATCCAATGTACATAACACGCTAAGAACCCTAGAGAAGCACAGAGAATCACAACAGCAGAATTTTATGTGAATTTCATGTCATACATGTGGCATAGAAATGAATACAAGACAGAGTTAAATACCAAAATTTTTCCTTTTCAGCTATTCTGTATGACTGATAGTTAATATCAAAGAAATAAAGTCTAAAATGAACAGCAGCAGCAACAACAAACCAAGACAGAAAAAAGACAACCTTTGTGCCTTTAAGACACTTTGGAACTGGGGGATCCCAAGTACTGTTACTGTCACAGACAATTGTGTTGCTGCCATTGAGGTAAAAACCCTTATCGAATTCAAACATAACTGTTGCTTTGTAATAATTTTTTTTCCAAATCCTAACACTGTTTTCTATTTTTGACTACTGAAAATCGATATTTGACCACTAGAAAACTGGAGAAATCCCAGAATTAACGGAAATTTGCTTTAACAGAAAAAGTAGTACCAAGTAGTAATTTCCAGGGGGAACAGAGACAAGGCATGAAATGCAAGATGTTAAAACATTTCTAAAAAGACTTTAAATGTTAAAAATTTAAATATAAAGCATTTTACCTGACATATTCTCCTTGATACAGAATTCTAGGGTGTTTTATTTTTCTTTCAGCACCTTCACAGACATAACTGTCTTGTAACCACAACAGTTTCTTAAGAAAAGTTAGCTGGCTGTCATTCTCACTTGTTCCTGCCCTCCTGAATGCAATTCCCATCCCCTCACCCCTCTGCCCCCCCACGCCCCACCACTCACTGGTTTTTTTTTAACTTTTGTTTTCAGTATTTTGGTGAAAACTACTAAACTACTGGGGGTGAGTATGTTGGTAAATTTTAATAATTTATTCACGCTGCTGAAGGCTCACTGAAGCTCCTGGATCTGAGGTTGTTTTGGATTTAATTTGGATAATTTTTGGTCAATATTTATTCAAATAACATTCTACACTGTTCTCTCTCCTCTCTTTCTGAGACTTCAATTACATGTATGTTTGACTGCTTGATATTCTCTCACAGGTCTGTAAGCCTCTCTCTTTCTTTTTTCAATCTTTCTTCCTAAATAAGGTTGAATTTCTATTGACCTATCTTCAGATTCACTGATATTCTGTCGTGTCAAATTGTACCTAATGATATTTTTTAAGTTTAGTTTATTGCATATAATTTATTTACAGTAAAATTCACCCTTTCAAGTTTACCAGCTGTATGAGTTTTGACAAATACAAATTAATCATGTAACTACCACCATAGTAAAGATACAGAAAAGTTCCATTACTCTCCAAAATATCCTCATGCCATTTTGTGAGTTATCCTTATTTTCCTCACTCCTGTCCCCACCCCTTCCACAACTAGCCAACCCTTGATCTGCTTTTATCCCTATAGTGGGACTTTTTCAGAATGTCACATAAATGGAATCACAGCCTTCTGAGTATAGCTTATTCCACTTAGCATGATGCTTTCAAGATTCATTTGTGTTTTTGCATGAACAAGGAGTTCATTCCTTTTTATTGCTGAATATGAGTCCATCTTTTGAAGGTAGTAAGGTGATTCATTCATTCACTAACTCAAGAACATGTGGTGATTTGCAGTTAGGGGTGATTATGAATGAGGCTGCTGTGAATGTCCTCATATAAGTTTCTGTGTGAAATGTTTTCAGTTTATTTGGGTTGCTGAATTGTATGATAAGTGTATGTTTAACTTGATATAAGAAATTGCCAAAAATGTGCCAAATTAGTCATTTCACTTTGATTCTCACCATCAGTGTATGAGAGGTCCATCTGCTCTATATCCTTGTCAGTGCCTGGTATTGTCAGTTTGGGGTGTGTGTATTTAAATTTCAGCATTCCGATAGGTATTTAGTGGCATCTCATTGTGAGCAGAGACAGTTTTTATTCCTTGTTTTCCAATATGTGTGTCTAATTGCTTTCTCTTGCCTTATCGTACTGGGCAGGACCTCCAGTACAATGCTGAATGGAGTGGTAAAAGTGGACATCCTTACTGTTTTCTTTCCAGAATTAGTACTTTATTAATTAGACAGAAATGTAGCTAAGATTTTTTTTGACCACTAAGTATAATGCTACTTTTTACCATTAATTATAATTTTTTTTGAATCATCAAATGTAATGTTAGCTGTGAGAGTTTTGTAGATGTCTTTTATCAGGGTGAGATAGATAGTTGCCTCCTGTTCCTAGTTTGCTGAGAAGTTTTATCATGAAAAATTAAGATGATGAAATCTGCTAAATTCACTCTCTCTCTCTTTTTTTTTTTTTTTTTTTTTTAATAAGATAATCTCATGATTTTTTTTCTCCTTTATTGTATCTTGATGTGGTAAATTACACTGATTAATTTTTACATTTGAACTAATCTTGCATTCATAAGATAAATCCTACTTGGTCATGATTTACTTTTCTTATGTGTCACAGGATTTTATTTGTTAATATTTTGTTGAAGATTTTTGGTCCTATGTTCATCAAGGATATTATTTGCAATTTTCTTATAATGTTTTTGTCTTGTTTTCATATCAGGACAATGCTATTATCATAACATGGGTTGAGAAGTCTTCCCTCCTCTTGCATTTTCTTGAAACGCTTGTCTAGAATCACTATTATTTATTCCTTAGATGATTGGTAGAATTCCCAAGTAAAGCCATCTGGGCCTGCAGTAGGTTATTAGCTACAAATTTTATTTCTTTGGTAGATATAGGAGTATTCATATTATCTGTATCTCCAAGTGAGTTTTGATATTTTGTGTCTTTCAAGGAATCTAATCAATTTCAGTTGACAAATTTGTAAGCATAAAGTTGTTTATAATGTTCCCTTATCATCCTTTAAATGTCTGTAGGATATTAAATGATGTTCTCTTTCTCATTCTTTTGTTTGTCTGTTGGATAATTTTGTTAATCAAGTAAAATTTATATCACTGATATTAAACAATGGTCTATGCACAAAAGAATATAAACCTTTCTGGCTGAGAGATGGGGAAGTTAGAAAAAGCATGAGAAACACACGTGGGGTGGAAGTGAGAAAGGAAAGAGAAAGGTGCAGACACCCCCACCTCACTTCTTGAGGGAGGGCTCTCAAGGACTCTCAAGATTGAGGGGCCATACATGGATTCAGATTTCTTTCATTCCAGACTTAAATTTAACATTAGGTTTTTGCTCCAGCACTAATTTAATACAGCAACATAGGCATGTCCAATCCAGCGGCACGCGCTGTTTCCAAGCGCCAATGCCTGGTGCACCGCAGCCCGGTGCACACCCCAGGAGTACAGTCCTACCCAGAGCAGGTACCGGTGCTGAGGAACCTGACAGGAAGCCTCCGAGAACACCGCCTGTTACTTACAAGGTGCCACCTGAGGGGATCCAAGGTCTCTGAAGATCAACTGGGGCCTGTGATTTCCGAAGATTTAACCTTAGCCTTCAATGACATGTACATATAAATTGGCAAACCCTTCATAATTTATGCTTAATTCTAGGAAGACATGGCACAGTAGATCTTCCAATGCCAAAAAAAAAAAAAAAAAAAAAGGTAGCAGCTGTGTGTGGTTCCCCATTTTGACCAAGCTCTCACTGTAACACAGAGCATAATGGAGAAGGCTTTCACATTTAAAGTAAAAAAGCCAAAAATCATATGTTAAAACTGTTGACTCGGAATGCAGCGAAACTCACTGCAAAATAAAAACCCTTACCTATACCTTAAAAGAATGAAATGCACCATCTGCAACTGTGTAGGCTCTAATGTAGCAGCACAGGATGTTTCTAGAAAAAAAAAATACGTTTGAGAAAATAACAAAAAAATACAGAGATAAAATATAAAACGTTTAAAATATCTTAAGAAAATTTGTTGCTCAAAATATATTCTAAAAAATTCACCTGCCTAAATTTAAACGAGATTGCTGCAGCTGCGCCTCGCGGTCCTCCAGGAGACCCGAAAAGGGATGAGGGGCGCAGGGCTGTCGAGAAGTCAAGATTGGCTCAATTTCAAAAAGCCTTTGAGGAGAGCCCTAGCTCCCTCTGAGACCAGCCTCCGGGGTGCCCTCTGCAGAGGGGAAGGAACGGGATGGGCCTGGGGCTGCAGACCCTGCTGGAATCAGCAGGGGAGCCAGTAAGGGGCAGCGGGTTGTAGACTGGCCAGAGCTCCCTTGGCTGGATCCCGTACTCCACGCCTGTCCAGCACTCCCTGGGGCACAGGGCTCAAGTCTCCATCAGAATCTCCAGCCACCATGTGCTCCTGCTTGCCCAGGTCAGACTGCAATTGCAGCGGAAGCAGCGAGGAGGGGCGGCTGCAGGGCCAAACCTCCGAGTGCCTTGCAGGGGCCCAGCTTGGCGCCTCCCATCACGCAGGTCAGCACCGTGTGTCCAGGTCATCGTAGGAACTGACTACGGCTGAGATCAGCTCTTTCATGCAGCTGGAGTCTTTAGTCTTCGTATTTCAAATATCTGATCTAGCAACTTCTGAAAGCTTCCTCTATTTTCCCCAGGGCTGTCCGTCTCCCAGATGCTGCTCTGCGGGGCTCCTGGTGCCAGTGCTGAGGGGACAGAGCAAAGGTCTGAAACCTGGCCCCTTTGTGCAGCAGTCTCCAAAGCGGAGGGCATGGCGCGCCCCCTCTGGCTCCCGCATGGCGGGCACAGGCCACCGGCACAGGATCTCTGTAGAAACCAGGCAGTGGAGCGGCGCGTGCCCGGCACTCTCGGGCGTCGCTGTTCGCCATGTCCCATCCTGGGCCATCTCCTCTTGGATCTGCCAACGTGTCGGCGATGAGGACTCTGCAGCAGTGGTTGGGCTCCACCAGCAAGTGGTAAAGTTGGAGCTTCTGAAAGTCCAAGTCCGAGAATGACTGCCCCTGCCGGCTGCGGGAGTGCGGGGTCTTCAAGCTGGCTAGGAGGTGCGCCTGGCTCCCACTTCTCTCATTCTCAGTATTGGTTAATTTGTGTCTTTTTTTTTCTTGGCCGGTCTGGCTCTCAGGTTACACACTTCCCTGATCTCCAAGTAGCAACTGTTGGTTTCATTATTATTTTTTAAAATCTCTTCTGAATTTCATTGATTTTGAGTCTATATTATTTTCTTATATCTGCTAGTTTGGATTTAATTTGCTCTTCTTTTTTAGATTCTTAAGGTGGAAAATTAGATCATTGATTTGAGACTTTTCTTTTTTTCTAACATAAGTATGTTATGCTATGCATTCGTCTGTAAGCAATGCTTTAGCTGTATCCTACATATTTGCATATTTTGATATGTTGTGTTTGTATTCAATTCAAAACTCTTTCTAATTTCCCTGCTACTTCTTTTATGCTTGGGTAATATTTAGAAGTGTCTTGTATACTTTTCAATTCTTTGGGGATTGCCTTTGTTATTGATTCCTACTTTCATTCTGTTCTGATCAGATAATATATTTTGAATGATTTCAATATTTTGAATTTGTTAAAAATTGTCTTATTGTCTAGAATATGCTCTACTTTGGAAAATGTTTCATGTGTACTTGGGAAGTACATACTTTTAAATCACTGTTATTCAGTCATTTCTTTCTTTTAATGGGTAAGTCCCCTGCAGGGTCTTCATACTTTTGGTCACTCTCCAGTGCCTTAAACATTTGGTCTTAAAAAAGTTTTTTTTTAATCCAGAGTTTATCATTTTTATTGATGAGAAGGTTGTCTGTTACAGTCCACCATTACTATGGCCAGAACTCTTAGATTTCTTGTAATACAAGATCAAACTTTCTTATTTTTAAGCCAGTGTGTGTGTTATTTTATTTTTTTTGATTCTTTCAAACAAAAACTTCTAACTCATGCATATACACAGTAGCTCACACTCTTTAAAATAAAATGCCAAGAACATGTGAAGGTGAGAAATAGGGAGCTCTGTAGCTAGAACTGTTTTTTGACTTGAACTGACCTGTATTCAATATATTAGAAATCAATCATACAGGAGGAGGAAGTGCATACGCCTGCTTTATTTGTAGATAAAACTATATACAAAATTATTCCAGAGTATGTACAAATGAAGAAGGAAATACATCGAAAGATTTCTTTTACACTCTGGAGCATCACCACTCCATACTGAATTGTCACGACAGTAAATCGTGCTCTCTCCAACAAGTGAAAATGGATCTGGTCCAGGTGCAGGATCACAACTATAAGTTACTGCATCAAGATATTCAAATACATCTACATCACTAAAGGTGTGTTTTCCATTGCTTATTTTTGGAGGTGGTTTACACAGAATCTCTTAAAAACGGGGAAAGCGGGGAAAGGAATGTAAAAGATTAAGAGCATTAGTAAAATTTCTATGCCTTTAATACATTCATCAATACAGGGTTTCTACAAGCTGGTTGTGAATTCAGTATCAGTTTAAAAGAATATTTCTATGAGCAGATACATTATCCCAAATTCAAACCATTAATGAATTAACTAACTTTCAGAACAAATCTCATTTTCTTAAAGTGTAAATACCCATTGATATGATCTGCCTCTGTGGTCCCCACCAAATCTCATGTCGAATTGCAGTCCACAGTGTTGGAGGTGTGGCCTGGTGGGAGGTGGTTGGATCATGCGGGTAGATGTCTCATGAATGGTTTAGCACCCACCATCCCCTTGGTGCTGTTCTCATGATACTGAGTTCTTGGAAGATCTGGTTGTTTAAAAGTGTGCAACACCTCCCATCCTCCCCACCTTGCTCCTGCTCCTGCCCCTGCCATGTGAGACACCTTCTTCCCTTTTTTCCTTTTTCAACGATTAAATTTCCTGAGGCCTCCCCAAACCCCCAGCTGATGCCAGCATCATGCTTCCTGTACAGCTTGCAGAACCATGAGCCAATTAAACCTCTCTTCTTTATAAATGACCCAGTCTCAGATATTTCTTTATAGCAATATGAAAACGGACTAATATACCTATATTTCTTTGCAAGGCCATGCTACGTTTTGTTCTAGTCATCACAAGAAATGCTGACAATTTAATTAGAAAATATGCTTAACGGAGTGGGTGGTTGAGAAATCCTTTGCAATTTATAAATACATCCGTTTTCTAAATTGGTGGTTCACAGTACCACCAAAATATTGTTTTTTCACTCTTATCCTTTCAAGTGTATAGTGATATTTTTCCAAAGTCTACATGTGTGTGATAACACAACCGCCCAAATCCATTTTTCTTTAAGCCAGATGTTGAAGAGATGTGCAAAAAATGTGAACTATGCCACTATTCTCACTAATTTTATTTTGTTTTAGAAAATTATTTTTCATTAAAAAAATGAAAAATGTTACATATGTTAGTGCATATTGCATCTATTCTTAAAAATTAATCAGGCCAGGTGCAGTGGCTTACATTTGTAATGCCAGCACTTTGAGAGGCCCACAGGAGCAGATTGCTTGAGCATGGGCATTCAAGGTTAGCCTGGGCAACATGGCAAAACTCCATCTCTAAATAAATTACAAAAAGCCAGGCATGGTGGCATGAGCCTGTAGACCCAGCTACTCGGGAGGCTGAGGTTGCAGTGAGCTATTGTGCCACTGCACTCTAGCCTAGGAAACAGAGTGAGACCCTGTCTTAGGAAAGACAAAACCAAAAAGAATCAATAATTATTTAAAAAAAACCTCTCAGTTTGAATTGCAATATGATAAATACCAATAGATACAACCCACATAAAAGAAAGCTCTTTGGGATCTTTGTTAAAGAGTAAAGGGTCCCCTGAGGCAAAAAGCTTTGAGAACTACTTGTCTAAATTTAAAATAAAAGAATTTGCTTACTTTCACATATTGGGGGCTTACTGCTCCAAACTGCTACTGATCCTTTAGGTTCACAATATAGAATTTGTTTACCAATTAAGTAATAACTAAATGAGAAAAGAAAGGGTTAGTATTTTGTGTAGCAATTAATAAGACACACATAATAATGAAGGAACTTTTCATATGGTTG